TAAGTCGGAAGGTACGACGAGCAGATAGGCAGATTAGTTCAGGCGCAGACAGAATAAGATGGAAACGTCTTCATTCAATCCCCTACAGATATAACAATTTGGCGACGGGGTTTTACCTTAATTCAGTGCAGTTATAACACACATAGTACAGGTTTGTCAGCGTGTTTTAATTATAAACTGTCTACTTTTCATACGGGATCTTCAAGTAAAATGATATTCGACAGTACATCGTGTTACACTGCAGTGTTCCATCTGAAGCAATAATGTCCGAGGTCGAATTGTGTGATCCAGAACACACACACACAATTAGATAATCAAAACAATGAGAAGAAATTGCCGAGAGTTTATGCAACATTATACCTGATGGAAATTAAGGTGGCCCTGTGATTTAAGCAGGCCACCAATTCAAAATTTTGACGGAAAATTCCCATTGGGACATATAAAAAATCGAAACAAGTGATTCAAAGAAGAGACTCTCATCAACGAATTTATTATCAAGCTGTACAATCGCATATATATATATATATATATATATATATATATATATGCGGTATTTATGAAATTATATCTTGTGAGGGAATTCAATCATAAGTGTGTGAATACATAAAATAATAATAGTAGTATGGATTGCAACTAAAATTAAAATTTTTTTATTGCAGTCATAGTTCAATGTGAAGTGGTAAAACAATTAATGTCATATATAGGAACAGTTCACAGGATGAATAGAACTTGGAACGGTGCGAGATTATAGGCTGAGTAGGCGGATAGAATAAAAATAAAAAAGTCGGGTAACACTGTGTGAGATTGGATAACAAAGAATTTAACATCGCAAAACAAAATCGATTTGAAATGTCAAGTGGGTATCTTTGATAAACCGTGGCGTCTTGGTGTTAAAGATCCTGTTAGTCTAATCGTCTTCTCAAGGTTCTTGACGAATACGATGATTGTTCATTATTTTTAAAGGTTCGATAAGTTCCTTTTCGATTAATTCCGTTTTGTCATGAATATTTCTCGAAACTGAACACCATACTGCTGTTACACTCCTGTTTCCCAGTGGTACGACTTCGCCCACAGACCCCAAGCATAGTGTAAAAAATTATTGCACTATCCTGGTAACTGCTTTCAGTCTAATCGCTATCCTAACAACCTTCCTGGCATGGTAGGGTCTGCAGGAATAATAGTTCCAGCCAGTGTAGCTTGTTGGGTCATCGCAATATGCAAGCCCGACGATCACATCAAGGTAGCAGCTATCGGTCGGGAAGTGGCTCCACACAAACAGCTGATATAGATTGACAGATGCACTTAGAGGTTGTGGCAAAAGTACAAATAGTATTGACCAAAACAACTTCATAAACAATTAAAAAAATTTTAAACAGGTGACTAGTCTGCATACTTCGTCTTTCAGTTTGTCAATGACAACTGGTTTTGTATCAAATATAAACTATAGGTTATAGGCATGAAACGTTCGTTGAATCGATTTTCTCAACTGGCTGGTTAATTATTTCATTTAATAAATCCCCACCCCCACCCCACGCCTATGAACTGTAGTCGTATATAATCTTGTTAAAAGATACAAAATAATTATTTCCTACTTTCTTGACCATCTGCTCAATGATAACTTTTCAGGGTAGGTGTTTGTCATCAATTCATCTGTCGATGCTATTGGTTCATTTTTACCTCAACCAGCATTAATGTTATTCATAACAATAATTCTTTAGTTATTGTGGTCATATAAATGTAGACTGTGATAACGAATTTATCGAAAAGAATGTTCTTTGCTCAATTAATCAGTCTTTTAAAGTTATTCTTTTCTAAATGTTATGTCTAAGGTAATCCTCTATATAACACTTCGTTTTTGTATATCTACTGTGTATATTTGCATATTTTAAACTGTAAACTATACGTTACTTTTATTCAGTGGTTTATTGAGGTTAGTTTTGCACTTAAACCTATCACTGTTCGTGGTGTGGTTGTTGTTGTTGTTGCTCTTATATAGGTTGATGGTTGTTTTCACTTCTTGTTAATTTATGGTTCCCTGATGTGGTTTTTCTGTTGAGTTAGATTTTTCAGATGAATGATTGATGGGGGGGGGCGGGGTACAAGGAGAAGGTTAACTGGTGTTAGGAAATCAAATCAAATTTTTCAACACATTATGTGTTATTTTCTGGTATTGTATGCGTAAATATTTTCTTTCCTGTATTGTAACGACTGTTGTGTGATATTTTTACACCTTAATTTTTTAGTCTTATTGTATAATTTGAGATAATTTGAACTAGGGCTAAACTCCTCAAAAGCCTATTTCCACAGTTATATCTATAGATATCTATATGTGAGCATTGTCTTTCGTGTTGTTTTTTTTTTTTGGTGACGTATTGAGTGCTTCAAACTTTTGAAGTCTCATTATCAGTGGATGGGATTGGTAGCTTCACGCTCAACCTTTCATTTCCTTTCCAGGCTTAAAGTGTTAGGGTTTGCTATTAGCTCGGTGAGATTTGTCAAGTTCCTCGGGGGGGGGGGGGGGCGGTATCGAATTCTGTGTTTTCATCTTACTCATCTCAGTTGTGTTCATGATAGCTTTTCTAGAATTGGATCCCCCAGTTAATTTGTCATTCATGGTTTCGACTATTATTACGACGACGTTTCATCTGTTAGAATCGTCCAACGTCTATTTTTATTTTTTTCTACTTTTGATGGTATACATATGAGAACTTCAGATTTAAGGATCATTCTAGCCCGAATAATCACAACTATTTTAAGAACTATTTTCATTCATTGCATCAGCTGGAGTCTTAATTTACATTCTAGCACATAGTCATAGAAATTTTATTGTGGATGTTTGATCTCTATGGCATTATTTATCTTTAAATATAAATAACGCTACAACCTATTATCTTTCATTTTAGCCTAACTAGTTAAACTTATTTTGATAATTACAATTGTTAGCTTTTCATCACAGCACTGGAGAGCTGTCTCATCCTACTATGGGACTCTTCAGTAGCGCGCACTCCCACGACGACCCCACTGTCGATCGAACCCGAGACCTTCAAGTTACAAGACCAAGCTCACTCATCATTCAGCCACTTCGGCTGGAATTCAGTGACCCATGGATTCTAACTTTGTCAGCTGGCAATGTAGCTCTGCCCTCACCAACGAGTTTCGAAACCCCCATAAACCCTATAATCTGAATATCCACCGCTAGCTCACTGTTGGTTGCTAGGTGGATGCCCTGAATTTCGAGGTCCGATACCTGTTGGGGTGGTGTGTGTAGGCACTGTCGAAGAGTCCCAGAATAGGACGAGACAGCTGTCCAGTAGTATCTCTAGATGTTGTTGGCTTGTGACTAAAATGTAACAGTTATAATTAATCCAAAATCCTCACAAATCTGAGTATTCTAATAATATATTAGTTAATTTCGTTATTATAAATGTGGAAATCATACTAATTTTTGTACGACAAACTTCTTGTAATTGCGAATGAAATTTGCAAACAATGAATCCTCCCATTTGTATTTTAACGACGTGTCTACTTGCTGAAGTAGTATAAAGCTTAATTCAATGCTAAACTGTTATAATATTAGGTTTTTTGCCGTTAACAAACTGAAAAATCTTATAGACATAACACAAAATAGTTTATTTCAGGGGAGTGGTGTTGTAGGTGGCCGTTTTTTTTGGTCTTACTGAATCTCAGTCTACAAGATTAATCACTTCCCAGCATATACATGTGCTTTGAATGATTTGATTTTATTCCATTTTACATTCAGGTAAGTTTTGACTGTTTTAAACTGTTTGTAGAAATTTGATTTGTTCCTAGTTTGACCATGGATTGATATCAGTTAGGGAACCATTGAAAACTAACAGGGAGTACTGAACAGCTGTTTCATCCTAGTTTGGGGACTCATTGACAGAATGCATCCACGGGGCCATTGAATCTGCTCTCAGTAGCTGAATGAATGATTTACAAGCTTGTCTTGTAACTGAAATGTCCTGGGTTTGAACCATGGAGAGTATGCACTGTTAAAGAGTCTCAAACTAGGACGAAACAACTAGCTGTCCCGCACTCTTTGTTGGTTTTCATTGGTTTTCTAAATGATATCAATCCTTTGGTTAAATTTCAAAATTCTGAGTGTCCTATATCGTATGCTCAACATTTTAAGACTTTTATGGTTCCCCTTGTTAAGTACAGATCATATCATCTTTGTACATTGGTTTTATGAGTTTAGCTAGACTATATTGTAACAGTTCCTTTGAATTAGACTGGAATACACAGCCCAAATTCAAGTGTTGGTTTCTAGGGATTGATTGGTTACAGGATTTCATCATGAGCTGACATTGGTTAGAGATGAGATGCTCACTAGCGACTTGCCCTATTCAGGTAGGTGGTTCTAGTGAGAAGTCATGACCAGTAGGGTGCAGGAAGTCAGGTGTGAGGACAAATACTCGCCGAAGACATTGGTTAGATATCTCTTTGTCGTAAATTGGCAGAGGTTGGATTTCATGGGCCATTGGGTGGTTGGGTCCCATTGGCTTAATTGTATACGAGCTCGCTGGTCTTGTAACCAGAAGGTCCTGGGTTCGAACCGTGGCGGTGAGTGCGTACTGATGAAGATTCCCAAAGGAGGAGGACGAAACAGCAGGCTGTCCAGTACTGTCAGGTTTTCTAATGGCTCTCTAACCAATGTCAGGTCATGATGAAATCCTGTAAACAGTTCAAATTGTCTAGCAGCTGATCATTGACCTGTTTCTCTTACACTCCTGTGAATAAATCAATAATGATGTTGGTTACCGTAATAATGAAACATTGTACAGTCAAAACTTCAGCCGTATCATGTTGTTTTCTGTTGCTTGTTTTTTTTAAGAAAAGCAGTTTTATAATTTCTATTCATTCTTTTTTTCTGTTTCTTTATCTCTTTTTTATATGAATCATCTTGGTGGTTGTTAATGCCGCCTGAACAATTTAAAAAAAACGTAATCTAATCACTTCATCATCATCACCGGCATTAGCACAGTTCACTGAATTTATGTCATGAAGTTAATTCTGGTAGTGATGGTGTCGTGTCTGGATGGTCAAATCCATTTTTTGATCCTGTTGTACCATGGCGCAAAAGTTCACATCAATACCCTCACCACCACCAGCAACACAAAATCGGCATGAATAGTTTTCGTAAGAAACTCTCCTCTCGTCGCATGAAGTTTACTCGCCAACGAAGTGTTGATGATAATGAAGGGGTGGTGACGGTGATGAATGCTGCCGGCAAAGATGCATTGGATATACGAGCATCACAGAGTACTGGAGATCTGGTATTGTTCGAAATAGTAGATTAGCTGTGCTCACTTTATTTACCTGTTTATTTATTTTTGTTTAGTTAGCGGCTTCTTATTTGTCCTTCGTGATTGATGTTTTTTGTTGCTGCCCACTGAATTCATGTTTTTTCACACACTACTGCTTAGTCTGTGTATTTTTCTGCAAAATATCAGCTGTTGTATACGCAAATCATTTGTTTATATTCATTTTTTTAAGTGTTGGTTTACAAGGATTTGATTGGTGTTAAAGGATTGATCATGACTTGACATCATCAGTTAGAAAACCATTGAAAAACCTACCAGGGAGTACTGGACAACTGTTTCGTCCTAGTTTGTGACTCTTCACCTGTGCGGACCCAGAACTTTCAGGTTGTGAGGCCAGCCCGTAGAGGAGTCGTAACTAGCGGCGTCCACCAAGTCAGGCAGGAGGACAGTTACTTACCCTGGAATTCATGGACCACTGGGTCGTATCACAACAGCTGAGTGGTAAATAGGCCTGCCTTGTAGCCGTAAGGTCCTGAGTTCGAGCCCTGGCGCGGTGAGTGCATACCTTTGAAGAGTCCGAAGCTAGGACGAAACAGTTATTCAGTACTCCCTGGTTTTTCAATGGTTCTCTAACTGATGCATGTTGTTGTGATTGAGATGGATGGATGGTGGTCATTGAAAGATTCAAACTGTTAGCTCCTTATCTCAGGCTTCCTCATCACACACACACACACACAGACATTTGCGTTTCCTTTTAGTTAACTACTCTATGTCTTTATGTGCCTATTTATTTTAGTTGTATCATATTTATTTTTCTTCATTTTCCACTATCTTTTTTGTTTCATTTGGTGTGTGTTGAACCATCGCACTGATGATTTGATCTTAGTTTTATCACAGGCTTGATTTTCATGTCAACATCTGCTACTTTAGTTTCTCCCCTGTTGTGTTGTCATACACTCCTGTGCGCACCACGTATATCTACAGAAGCTCACCTACTAATACCGATTAACAGTAGATGTGGGAGGGGGGAGCGAGGGGTTAAATATTGCACTGAGGAAAATATCTTTCATTACGCTATCATTGATTTTGCCTTGCACACATATGCGTATAAATAATATGCTGGTATGTTTTATTTGTAAACTGTACTATTGTTTTTGTTTTTTTTTTTTTCTCCTTATTCTTTTTATAGAGTGTTGTAAATTTAAAGACAATCGCTGATTTATGTGATCCAAATCGTGTTAAACGTCAGGGTACATTTCATCAAACTAATGGGTAGGTGTGATTAGGTTTTCCCGTTGTATGGATTAATTTCATATTTATTTATTTTTGATGATTCCTTTGGCTTCCGAGTGGAACATGGCTCGTTGACAGCATATCTTCATTGCACCCTGCTCTCTTCAGTCCTCTCTGGTTTACCCCATGATTGCCCATAAGGTCTAATCTCTTCCATGTCACCCTCGAATTGCTGCCCAAGTCGTTGTTTCCCATTCGGGTTCCACTGGAGTGATGGTCTGACGCGTGATGTTATTCAACAGTCTCCTTCGAGAGTGTGTTCTATCCAACTTCATTTTTCTTCGGGATATCTGTTGATCAGTACTGTCCTTGATTGGTTCATTCCACTGCAGAGTTCCTTGCTGCTTATTTTTTCTGGCCAGTCATCTGTTTTTCAGTATACAGCCTGGCGAGGATGGCTGTTGGTAAATGTCTGCAGCAGTTAAATGTCTGTCTGTTTTCGACACAGAACTTTGCACAAATGTGCGGAAGTTCAAGTCGCCACATTCCGTGTAGCACGCGAAGCAAGAGAAGAAAGTACAAGAAAAGCATAATAGAAACAGTGAGTAGAGGTGTGAGACAAAGGAGTAATAAAGAAATACAAAACAGTTTCATTGAAGATCATAAGTCACAGGGAGTGGATGCATCTGCGCCACTGAGAACGGTTTTGAGCCATGTCACCAATTGTTTCCAACCATAGATTTTTACCGTCCCGAGGACCCCAGCCTGGAAGTCTACACCTTTCTACGTGGCTTAGACCAACTGTTGTGGATTTCATTAACTGATGCCAAGTTTTTGTTTGATCGCCGCTAGCTTTTTTCCAGCCTGACCCTATATCCGCTAACATTGCTCGTCGAGGGAGGCGATGACTTGGCATACGTAACACATGTCCTAACCATCTCAGTCTTTGTAGCTTCACGACTTCGTCGATTGATTTCCCCTGTTTACCTAGAACTCGACCCCTAACCTCCATGTTGCTCACCTTATTATGTCACTTTACACGGGTTGTTAGAAATGCTTGTTTGTGACCTATACAGAAGAACCGACTGACTTGACATTGGTTTTTAGAAATCCGAATCTTGTCCTTTTTGCTGAGTGCAGAAGATTTCCAAATTGATTTCAGAGGGATGAACGTCTGCCTCGTCTTTTCGATCTTGGCCTGCTTCGACATCCTCATCTGTAGTGTCTGTCTACAGTTAAGACGATTCTGCTAGATAAGTGAAGGATGTGACCTCTTTCAACTCTACTCCGTTGACAGTCATTGGTTATCTTCATCACCTTTGTCTTCTCTAGAAGTCTATTGGTAGATGGTGACTATCAGTGAAATCCGGGATAAAGTGCACTTCGTCGTGTTTGGGACTCGTCATCTGGATGTACCTGAATTCCCCAGTGAGTGATGATGTTTTCCCCCGAGGCTCTAACCCAGTGCCTGTAGTTTCAAACGCCAAAGCGCGTTATCCACTTGGGCTGCGAGAACCACCTCTTGTACGATAGGTCTTAATAATTATTTAATTCAGTTTAGATTTTCCCGTCGATTTATTGGACCTAAGTACTCGGTCTGAGGTTGACACGTTGGCTCCTAGTGCAGATGCTTCGACGATGTCTTCTTTATGTTCACTTGAAGTCGTATTTTCGCTGCCCTCCACTTCTGCCAACCTGTTTGTTGGTTTTCGCCTGTAAGCGATGAAATGAAACAAATTTCTAAAAATGTGTTTTCTATGAGATTAGTCGCCAGGTTTATTCTATAATAGAATAATTTTATCTAATATAGCGCACAGTGAGACGGTATTACGTATATTCTGATGATAACGTTTCGAGTACAGTTTATCTTTCATAATCAATCATATCAAGGTGTTCACATAACTTTCAGATTGCTCTCGCTTATACAGATCCATTAGTCCTTATCCCTCGATTTTACTTGATCATAGCATTTTCCATACATCTAGTATATCTGTGTTACGTCAATACTCTTGGATGTGTTTAATGTAGATTTGATAATGAATAAGAATTCATCCATCGACCTCTCATTTCACTGTAACTGTAGCTTTTGTCCAACCCTATCTTTTGATTGATCGTATGTTAGTGCAAGCAAAGCGATCGTTGTACATCTTCCTAGAGTTGATCACTCTACTCTAAGCTAAATTCCTATGTTCTGATAATCTTACTGACCTTGATAGAGGATACCTCCCCAATTATCTAGGAAGCACTACTGTTTCAACCACAGGTGAACGGATGAAGTTGTCAAAGTGTTATGAAAAATGTTAAAAGGGTTAACTTAATTGATAGTTGATTTTTAAGTATCATGTTTCTGATTATCATTCAGTTTATTACAAAATTAATTATGATGGTAGATTGGTAGTTCTGTTTTTAACTCTGTCTATTCGTATAATTACGGCATGTAATGCCCGAGTCTTTATCAACTTCATTCAGCAGCTGTATGACAATGGCATATGTCAGGTGGTTCACAGTGGGAAACTCAGCGAAGTATTCGAAGTGAATACAAGGCTGACTGCCTATCATCACTGATAATATTCATAATTGTGGTGGACTGGATTATGCGTCAGACTTTCCACTGCGAGTAAGAAGACAGGAATACGCTGGACTACCGATAAGAAGACTCTAGAAGATCTGAACTGCGTGCGTGGATGATTTATGTTTAGTGTCAAAAACTCGAAGACTTGCAGATGAAAACCAACAAACTGACTGAAGAGGCCAGCAGCGAAGACTGGACTCCAGGTGAACATAGAGAAGACGGAGGTGATGAAGACAACCGACCAACAGCAACAACCACCAGTACCAGTTACCATCAACAGGAGGAACTTGAAAGTGGTCATTCCCTTCACGGTTTCAACCACAGGTAGTTGGAAAGGATGAAGATATCAAAACCAGCCAGAATTGGAAAGGCAGTATACGCTTTCATCAGCATGAAACCAGTTTGGAAATCTGCTGCACTAACTCCGCCAGCATAAAGAACGAGATTCAGATTCTATTCAACACAAATGTGAAATCGATCAGTTCTTGTATACTGGTGAGAAACTTGCACCGCTCACGAGTCACGAATAATATTTCCAGCAGGCTATTGGAGACATTTATCAATAGCTGCCACCTTCTCTGGCTCCACACTGAATATCACGTGGCCGGCTAGCCAGGAAGAATAAGCAACAAGAAACTCTGGGAAATGACAAACCAGCCAAGAGTTGATTGTTCAACAAATATGCAGAAGATAATGGAGATGGATCGGGCATACGTTGAGGAGACCGTCAAATGACATCGCGCGCAATGCAGGCCCGAAGAGTTGAGTGTATCGTCTGTACGAGGGTGACATGGGTAAGATAGTGTGGTGAGGAGGAGATGAGAGATTATAGGCAATTGTGGACCCAGCTGAAGAAGGCAGCAGAAAAAAATGTTGTCGCAGCCCAATGTCCTACTCGGGAACCCAAGTGAATAGAAATAATATAATAACTGACTTCGGTATACTGGATTGACTTATCTAACTGACTTCACTATCATTGGAAGTTACTATTTAGATTAAGTTATTTTTTCTTTCAGGGTGCCACACCCTAATTCTCGCTTTATCAGGAATCCTACGTAGAGTGTAAGATGTTCCTTCTTTTAATGGCAACACACTTTGGAAACCTTATGTTCAGTTATGTTTATGTTCTGGTCAGTAGTTTTGATGAAGCATTTCATTACCGGAGAGATGGAAAATACTATTTCCAATAAAATGAATCAAAGAATCAATGGGAAGAGTTTAAGCGAAGTCTTAAAGTTATGTGAACCACCTATGTGGTTCATTGTAGTCTAAACGCAGGGAACACCGATCTTTGCGTCCCACTCTGTTTTATTATTATTATTGCTCCCTTGAGTTCCTAGTGGAACATAGAGCTTCAACTGCACGTCTCCACTCGCTTCTGTCTTCTGCTGTACTTTTCACCTGCATCCATGTTAGTCCATACTGTTTGACTCTTCACACCATCTTCTCCATGTCACCCTTGGACGTCCCACTCGCCGTTACCCTTTCGGGTTCCACTTGAGCGATGGCCTGACGCGCGCGCGATGTCACCCAGCGGCCTCCTCAGCGAGTGTCCAATCCATCCATCTCCACTTTCTCCTGCATATTTCTTGGGCGGCGATTGGTTCTTGTTTTGTTTGTTTGTTCCCATAGATTCTTGTTGGTGATTCTTTCCGCCCGGCCCGGCCATCTGATCTTCAGTATAGATCCAGCGAAGACAGTTGTTGGTTGATAAAGGTCTGCAACAGGCTGTTGGAAATATTCTTTGTGACCCGCCCGCTAAGTTTCTGATCCGTATAGAAGAGCTGACTGACTTGACGTGTTTGTATTGAAAATCCGACCGAATTTTGTTGTTGATTCTGGCTGAGTGACGAAGATTTCCAGATTGGTTTCAGGTTGATGAATGTGTTTCTCGCCTTCCCGATTCTCGCTCGATTTGACATCCTCGTCCGTTCCGACTTCCTGTAGTTGAGACAATGCTCCCTAGATAAGTGAATGAAGTAACCTCTTTCAAATCCCTCCCGTTGATGGTGATTGGTGGTGGATGTTTCTGCTGTTGTTGTTGTTGTTTTGGTTGGTTATTTTCATAACCTCCGTCTTGTCTATGTTCACCTGGAGTCCTGTCTTCGCCGGCTGCTTCTTCGACCAGTTTGTCGGTTTTCGCTTGTAAGTCTTCGATTTTGTGTGACATCAAACATAAATCATCCACGCGCGAAATCCAGGTCTTCTAGGTTCTTCACGTCGGTCCAGGATATTCCTGTCTTCTCGTTTCCCCACTGTCTGACGCATAATCCAGTCAGTCACCACAATTAGGAATATCATTGGTGATAATAAGCACCCTTGTCTGACTCCTGTGTTTACTCCAAACGCCTCGCTGAGTTTTCCGTTGTGGATCACTTGACATGTGCCGTTGTCGTACAGCTGTTGAATAAGGTTGATGAATATTTGGGGTACGCCATAGTACTCGAGTAATTTCCAAATTACTTCA